CCCATTACGCACCTAGGGCACAGATCACAGTCTTCTCGTCTCAAGAATCTTCGCTTAGCACCCTCTGCTAATGCAGAGAAGTATTGCCATGTAGGAAATTGTTCATTATCTAGGTCATAGGACATGCTCATCTTCATGGGTCATCATGAAGTTATACAGGTAGGTTTGAGTTACCAGAAATCTCTAAGTGAGCCAGGAGTGGTGGTACACACCTTTAATTCTAACACTGGAGAGACAGAGGCAGGCAGATCTCTGTGAGTTCCAGTCAGGTTGGTCTACATGGTGAGTTCCAGGACAGCCAGGGCTATGTAGAGACACCCTGTCTCAAAAAAATAAAAAATAAAAAAAATCTATCAGTGTGGGATGAGAGTGAATAAGTAGAGAAATACAGAAAAGTTTAGTGTTACTGATACATTCTGAAGAGGTGTGTTAGGACTTTCTCTAACTAAGTATGGGGTACGTGCCTATGATACAAGCACTTAGTAACCTGGAAGACTATGAGTACCACAACACCTTAGGTAACATAGTGAAACAGTGTGTGTGTATGTGTGTGTGTGTGTGTGTAACTTTTTATAGTATTCCTACAATTCTTAATACAGATTGTCTTATCATCGACATTAATGTATGCATTCACATAAAAGCCAGTTTACTTAGTAGACTGACTATATTCTATTGCTACTGTTGAATTTAAATACATTAATTTAATTAATTTAATCACCCTATATTTGATGATTAGCTACTCTCACCTGCTGTTCCTAATCCATGCAGATGTAAACACTCACAGATGCATACAGATTGCCACACAGATGGGTAGTTAAAAAGTTAAGAAGCTGCCTCCGATAATATGTTCATGTCCTTCCAGTTTCAGCAAGCTCCAACTTCCAGCATCATCATCTGCATTTTGTTGCTTGAGTGTCTCTCTTACTGCCAAAGTTCATGATGCCTGTTTCATGCAGGATGGACATTTTGGGGATTAAAGACCGTAAAACAGCCCTTGGCTGTTTAACCAGTGGCTAACATGAACTGGTGAATAAATTTAAACACTTCAGTCCCAGAACTTTCAGTCCGGATTTCACCTAGGCACATGTTCCACACCATCTTCCAGAGATTCCCCCACAAAATTAAGCCTCGGGTTCTCTTAGTGGAAACCCTCTCCTACTCTGTCCCACTTTGTCATCTCCTTGCCAGATACCCTGGAATCCCCCCCCCAAAAACTCTTCCTTCAAATATGGCTCAAAGTTTACTTCCAGGAAAAATTTAAACTAAGATAATCACAAATATCTATAGATAACTCTATGACTGACTGATATGCTATGCAACTTCTAAATGGTAATACATGCACATGTGATCAGATTTCCTCATTTTCTTCTACTGTTCTTTGCTTGCGTGTGTTGTTTTGAGACACAGTCTGACTATTTAAACCCAGGCTGGCCTTGGTCTGGGGACCCTCTTTTGCTTCCACCTCTTCACTGCTGAGATTACTGGCATGTGCAACCATGTGCAGCTGCTCTTTTGTGGAGCTCAGCATGAACCTAAGGACTTAAATGTGCCTGGCAAGTATGTTACTCAGATATTCATATTGCCTTAGTCCATTTTTAATGTTATTGAAATCTACTTGACTGTGGCTAATCTATAAAGAACAGACATTTATTTAGCATATAATTTTGAAGGTTAAAAGACAAAGATCAGATAGTCCCAAGGGGTGTCTTGTGAAGGCCTTCTGGCTAAGCCACCCAATGCAGCAGATGGCATCAACATGGCAAAGAGTTCAAATGGAGAGATAGGAAGGGGAAGCGTGAGGAACAGGAACCAGGCTCACTGCTAAAGTACAGCCTGTTCCTGTGGAAACTTAGTCAGCCTTCGAGAACCATAATAGTCTCTTCCAGGCGTAATACTCACCTGAGCTAATCATCCCTTAGTGTGTAACAACAGTGCTGAGATCAAATTCTGACTGTCACATGACACTTATTATATTAACCTAGGTAAATTGTTGATTTTTACAATCTATTAAATCATAATAATGACATTAAAGTTACAATGTTATTCCAAGGTCTTATAAAAGTTTGCTTTTGAATAAAGATAACTAAATGTTTAGAGATCTGTTAACATCAGAAATCATTTTAAGCTGTGAGTGGCATGTGTCAGTAAACCTAACAGAATTGGGAGGGTTTCAAGGTTACACAAGAAGTTTCAGGTCAAGTTCAATTATAAAGTAAGACCCTGTCTCAGAAGAGAAAATGATATGAAGAAGGGAAGGAAGAAAAATATATTTCAGTCTATATTGCGAGCATTCAGCTATACACAGCTATGAATAAGAAAGAAAAGCTTTGAAGGTTTTTTTTATAAATAGAGAGAGACAAAATCAATTAGGGAATGTGCAAATAAATAAATAATCAAAATGATTCTGGAAACAAACAGATGACTGTAATAGGAACTTGGTGGTTAGTTTGGAAGAGAAAAAGAAAGTATACCCGCCTCCCACCCCCAAGGAATTGGCATTGAAGCTGGAACCTCAACAAAAGGCAGATCCAGCCATGCTCATCTAAGGAAGAACATTCCAAACTCTCAGAAAAGAATGCGATTACAAAAGAGACAGAGAAAAAGCAGCATTCTTCTGAAAATGGTGTATGTGGCATCGTGGTGGGAATAAAACTCACAGAAGTTCTTAGTGCTCAAAGCAGGATGAGTTGTATTCTCCATGGTGGTAGCGTATGTCTAGGGTTGGTGTTACTTCACAATTAGAGAAAAATTCTGTCTTCTGTGGACAGATTTGACTTGAATATGCAAAGGAATGAAGGGAGGGAAAAAATGACCACTTAGATTTTTCAGCAATCATGAGAGCAGGGCAGGGCATGATACTATCCCAATCTAAGAACAGCAACAGTTGAAATGTATGAAATACATGGATTTAAGACACATTTTAGAGAAAGAGAAAAGCTGACTAACTGATAGATTACTCGAGGGTTTCAGGCAATAATATTAAACAAAAAAACTAACGGTTTTCATAAATTCATTTTAATTATACACACACACTCAATGCCTGGCATTTAGGAAGCACCCAGTAAATGAAATGGAAACCAGGTATGGACAGAAAGAGAATTAAAATATAAACCAGTTAGCTGAGAAAACAGGGTGAGTGTACACTAATAGGCAACAAAATAAGGTCATCGCTGCATGCCCTCCCCTCATGATCTCAACGTCCCTCACCTGTAGTATCTATCCTCTCTCTCATCAATTAGATTCCTGGAGCTCAGCCTGGTGAAGAGCCACGCTAGTGGAAGCCCATGAACTGTGGACTGGTGGCTGTGGAGTCCCCCATGGGACTGCACTAGGCTCTCTGGATACGGAAGACCATTGTTTGGCTTGAACTGTTTGGGGGGCACCCAGGCAAGGGGGTCGGGATCTGTCCCTGATGCATGGGCAGGCTTCTGGAACCTGGTGCCTGTTGTGTGACACCTTGCACAGCCTTGGTGCAGTGGGAAGGGGCTTGGACCTGCCTAGGTTCAGTGTGCTGGGTTCGGCTGATTCCCCATGGGAAACCTTGATTTGGGGAATGTGGGGATGGGGGGTAGCTTTGGAAAGAGTACTGGGGGTGGGTGGGAGGAGGGGGATTGTGGATAGTATGTGGAGTGAGTAGAAAATTTCATAATAAAGAAAAATGAAAGAAAAAAATAAGGTAGTAGATAAAACAATTATTTCTTAACATATTTTTTTCTCCATGACGATATCCATAATCTAGGTCCATCTAACTAGGTTGGTTCTTTTTGTTGTTGTTGTTGTTGTTGTTTTTGTTTTTGTTTTTGAAGACAGAGTTTTCTCTATGTAACATTCTTAGCTGTCCTGGAACTCACTTTGTAGACCAGGCTGGCCTTGAACTCACTGAGATCCACCTGCCTCTGCCCACCCAGTGCTGGGATTAAAGGTGTACACCACCACCACCGGCCTAAGTAGGTTGTTAATGTTAAATCTACAAAAAGCCAGCAGTGTGGTGATGGTGCACACACCCAGGCAGATCTCGGAGTCTGAGGCCAGCATGGCCTACAGAAAAAATTCCAGGACAACCAGGGCTGCACAGAGAAAGCCTGTCTTGAAAAACAAAACAAACAAAGAAACAAAATCTATAAAAAGTGACACATATGACACTAGTCCTCAATGTAGTACATGTTAATTGTGAACTGAATAGGTAATAGTCACTATGAACATTAGAAGATGTGAGATCCCTGAATCTGTGATTATATGAACACAGACACTATTTATATTACAAGGCACTCCATTAAGAGTTTGATCTGTTAACAACTATGACAAATAGGCACAATCAAAAGCAATGCTTACACTATCAATAATATATATATTGGTTCAACCATAGGCAACTGAATTCTAATGTAAATTCTAAAGTACACATTAGAGAGATTAATGAACCCAAAATGCTACCCTCAACACACACATTACACATATAATACCTGTTCCTCATCATCTTGTGATCAGTTTTTAAATGATCTCTCTTCTTCTGAATATACCTTTTGCTGCCTTTCTTCATAGCTTCCTCAGAGTCTAAACTTTTTCACATTTCCTTACTATATGATTATTCTTAATTTTGATGGGCAGCAGGCCTCTTTAAACAACACGAAACTATCACTAACCTAATGATTTGGCACCCTGGCAGTCTTTGTTAGGACAACTTACATTCAGAAAGTCTATAGAATCAATGTCTTTTAGGAAAAGATTGTCTCTTTTTTCCCTTTGTTTCCATCGAGGTGAATGTACAACCTCACTGAAAGTTTTTTGTGTTTCACAATCTGAAACCATGTAGTCGACATCTCAACATTTTCTTATGGTAAACATCCACTCAATAGCATATGCTTGTTTATTACAACAACCTAAACAAAAAGCGCTCACTCAAATGGAATGTAGTGAATGGACAAGTGTGTGATTAATGACTACACAGCTGAAGGCTCATTTTGGTGAAGAAATCTTTTAACTGTCTCTGATTTTCTTCGTAGGTTTTATTTTCTAATCATCCTGAATTCTGATGCACCATATTGCCTTGCTGCTATACCAACTGAACATCAAAGTTTCAGCATGCTTCCCAGCACTAAACTTGTATTTAGATGAACAAGTACCAAGCATCAATCACAGAAGACAGTCATGAGCATCAGGGCATGCACAGTTTTAGTCTTGGCAGGTGGTACTAGAAAACGTCCATCCTGACAAAAACTAAACTAAATGTGATTATCCATCTTGATCCTCGTCGGGAAGGATACAAGGTGCATCTGTCAAGTTAACATCATTCTGAACTTGGTGCTGTGCTTGGCAGGGTAACTTATTTCCAGGAAATGCATTTCTCTCCCAAATCTGGTTGTTAGTCTATGTATACAGTTTATAACTTATATGCAAAGACAGAGCCCTTTCTGTAATGGCCACTTCTTACTTTGTGTAGAATTTAAATACCAGACCTCAATGCTACCTGTGTTGTCAAATGTTTTTCTCTTGTCAGGCTCATGTTCAAATCCTTTTCTACATAGCCACCATCAAATGATCATTCTTAGAAACGAACTAGCCGTGACACAGGGGGAGGGGCTTGGACCTGCCTCAGCTGAATGGACCAGGCTTTACTGACTCCCCATGGGAGGCCTTACCTTGTCAGAGGAGGGAATGAGGGGTGGCTTGGGGGGGGGGAAGGATGGGAAGAGAGTGGGAGGAGGGTGAATGTGGGGTTCGTATGTAAAATGAATTTTTAAAAAAATTTCCTAATAAAGAAAGAGAAAAAGAACTGAACCAGGCTTCTTCGAAGCATTCATCCTCAATTAAGACTTGCTCAGCTCTGTGCTGGACTCCTGAGCTTATGTCATCCTGAACACGGCCAATAGTAACAGAGCTAAGGGGAGGGGGCGATGATTCAGTCAGGAAGGCACTAGGGGCACAAGCAGAGGACCTGAATTCAGATCTCCAGTACCCATATGAAAAGCTGGGCATGGCCCATACCTGTAATCTGAGTGTGGAGAAGACAGAGGAAGAACACTAAGGCTTACTGGCCAGCCAATCTATCCAATCAGTGAGCTCCTGGTTCATTGAGATATCCAGTCTCAAGAAACAATGTGGATAGCATTTTGAGGAAGGTACCCAGTACCAACCTTTGGCTTCTGGCTTCCAGAGGTATGCGTAACTGCATGGACACATGCACATGCACATGCACGTACGTATGTACACACACACACACACACACACACACACACACACACACACTCACACACACCAGAGTAGCAATCACTCATTTATAAATCAACTAATCTTGAATTACATTTAAATGCCTTTTTAGAATTTCCCACTGAAAGGAATAGGACTTTCTGCTAAAAAACTATATTCCAGTTATCTACCTTAAAGAAGAAAGCTAGTGAAAAGACCAAAAGGCAAAACTGAATCAAAAAGTTGTAAATACCCATGAAACTAAGATAACTTCCTGGAGCAAAATCCCAAAGATATACATTGTATTAGAGTGCAGCACTGTCAGAATAAAGAACCCTTATTTATTAGATGAATAGAAGAGACTAGACCTGTGTAGAAATTATTTGATTTAATCTGTTAGTTCACATAATCATGAAACACTTGTTTCAAAGATGTCATATGGATATATCTCCATAATACATTAAGATTAAATAAGAAATTAGGGAATTTAAGAAAGCAACACATCTTAATTCAAAATACAGTTGGCAAAACAACAAAGCACAGCCCAAATGGAAGCTATAAGGAGGTGTAATTTATGACTTGAGTGACAGTGTGGACAGTGAGGAGATGGGATGCTGATGTCACCGAATATGCAAATGAAAAAAACTAATCTCAGTCCCTTCCCTTTGCCCTACACAAATGCTATAGGGAAGCTATAAATATGAATGTGAGAGGAAAAGTAATCGGGCATCTAGAAAACTGTTTTCAGGACACTGGGCACACACAGATTGTTTTTATAAATGCAAGGCATAAAGTCAAAGGAAACAAGAAAAAAACTATTAAAATTAAGAGACTCTGGCTCTTAACTTCATTGCCAACATTCGTTAAACATCTTGTTTTAAGCAGGGAACAAACCTAGTGCCTCACATAGAATACACTAGAAATACAATAAATTATATTGTATTTCTATTTATTCTAAAATGATCATTATTCCTGTTTTGAGATGAATATTCTCTAGAGATGGAAAGCACGGGCCCCTTTAGACATTGAACAGATCCTGGAGGCTCAGATCAGAGACTCCAGTACTTGGGAGAAAGTGGCAACACCTGGGAAATACCTTCAAGACTGAGTCAAGAGGACTAGATTATCTGATGGTTTGAACATAGAATAAAAATGAAATAAAGAAAAACTACATGGAGTTCTACTGAAAACAATTTAATTTCCCGAAATTGAATGAGCTGGAGAAAGCTGTGTGTAGAGCAAATTTGACCAAGAAGTGAGGAGTCCATTAACTTGTTTCTGAAGGTGTTAAACATGTTAGAGTGATAATATATAATAAAGAACTGATGATATTATAAAGTTAAGAAGGTAGATTCAGACAACAATGGAGAATTCAGGAAAATTTGTAAAGTGAGAACAAGAGAAATCACTGACAACGAATAGAGATTTAAGCAAACTAATCAAGTTAATAATAAAAGTGGATATAATACAGATATTTCCATATTAATAAGGTGAAGGGGGTGGGTAGATGACTGAGCCAGTGAGATGCTTGACACACGAGTGTGAAGAGATGAGTTCAATCCCCAGTACCCAGATAAAGATGTGGCATGGTGGTATATACACTCCACCTCAGTGCTGGGAAGGAAGACACAAAAGGATACCTAGGGCTTGCTAGTCACCTATCCTAGAAAACTGTCCAACTTCAAGTTCAGTGAAAGACTTTGTCTCTAAAGACAGGTGAAAATGATTGAAGAAGGCATGGAACACTAATCTCTGGATTTCACAATAGTGTGCATTCACACACGCACATGCACATGCACACACTAATAGATGTCAAAAGAAAGAAAATCAGCAAATAAAACAAGCAACAACAAAATAAAACTAAAAAATTGTTTGAATGTATGCAGGGAGAGCCAGCAGGGAAAATGAGAAAAGGCGATTAGTGAGATAAAACACTATCACTAAATACAAAAGCTGCACAAGAAGAATCAATTATCTGTAGAAGTTATTAAACAAAGTGGGAGGGTTGTTACAGAGTCTTAACTCATCTCTCCCTGGAGCCATAACTCCTCTATCCTGCTCCAATTGTCTAGGAAGCAGTATTTCTCTACCTTGCTTTTGAAAGCTGCTGATCAACAATGGCCAACCTTAAGCTCTAGGGTCTACTGAAACTATTCGAACTAGTCAATCCCGAACAATTTAAATCTCCTACTCTTGCCTTTTCCATAGAAATGCCAATAAAGACTGTGGACTTCACTCTCCCTTCCCTCCTGATCTCTGGCACCTGAACAAAACTTTTCTTAGCATTTTCTTCAGTCTAGGAATTAACAAAACTAGTTGGGTTTTTTTGTTTGTTTGTTTTTTTTTTTTTTTTTTTTTTAAATAAAACTCACATTGAAATCTAATCCTCAGAGTAGTGGTCTTCAGGGACTTTGGAAGTTAACTAGATCTTGAGGGTGAAGTCTCATGTATTAGGTAAATACAGGTCTTGATCAAGGTTTCTACGGCTGTCATAAAACATCATGACCAAAAGCATCTTGGGAAGGAAGGTTGTTTTTTTGTTTTGTTTTGTTTTGTTTTTCCAGCTTTGAGATTACAGTCCATTATGAGGAGAAGTAAGGGCACGAACCAGACAGGAACCGATGAAGATGCTTCTTACTGGAGACATGGTCTCATGTCTTGCTCAATCTCCTTTCTTAGACCCCCTGAACCACCCACAATGGCCCATGGAAGAGTACTGCTTACTGGTTTGCTCTTCTTGACTTGTTCACACTGCTTTCTTAGACCACCCTGGACCACTAGAACTGTGAATAATAAATTTCTGCTGTACCCAGGTCTCAGTCCTAAGGTATTTTGTTACAGGGGCTTGAACAGAGTAAGACATCCTGTTACCGTGTATGGATAGAATACACTCCATCCTTCCTCTTAGACCAGTGGTTCTGAACTTGCCTTATGCTGCAACCCTTTAATATAGTTCCTCATATGGCGATGACCCCTAACCATAAAAGTATTTTCATTGCTACTTCATAACTGTGATTTTGCTACTGTCATGAATCATAATGTCAGTATCTGAGATGCAGGATATCTGATATGGGACCCTTGTGAAAGGGTTGTTCTACCCCAATGGGGTTTCTACCCACAGTTTGAGAACCACTGTCTGAGATATATTAGCATAGAACACTTGAATTGTTCCTTTTTCTGAAAGGAACAATTTCTGTGTCCTTATGTGACTGACAATGATGTAACAAAAACAGAGCCTGATGCCTTTTTTTGGACTTGGTGCCATGAAGGTCATTGATACCTATAAAAGAGTTATTTTTATCTATGGGTCCTAAGTGTGAAGTTAACAAACACAGACAGCATTAATAAACAGGTGCTGGGATGAGCTTCATTTTTTCCTGTGAGCCACGACGGAAGTGTAACTCATACTTATGGACTTAACAATTTGGCAGGCATTGGAGAAGGAACCAATGCTTTATTGGAACTGAACACAAACCTAAACCACTGTTTTAAATGGACTTCCTTGCAAAGTGCTAAGGAGCAATAGTTTGAATAAAATGCCCCACATGCACCCCAGATGGTAGAACTATTTTGGGAGGTTTTGTAAACTTTAGGAGGTAGGCCCTATATGGAGGCAGCTGGTCACTGAGGGAATGTCATTGGGATATCTTGAGCCTAGACTTTCTGTCCCTCTTTGTCTCTGCTTCCTATTTGCCATGAGGTTAAGTATAATAGAACCTGCCACGTTTCCACTGCCAGGATGCTCTTCTTCACCAAGGGTCCAGAAACATGGGATTTCTATTAAATCATGAGCTAAAAGTAGGCCTTTCCTCCCCTACACTGTTTGCATCAGATACTTTGTGACAACAATGAGAAAAACATGCATTGTCTTGCTTTCCCACAAACAAAAAGTTGTATAGTTTCTCCAGGTTATAGTCAAGGAAGCCCAGACTTAATGGGCAGAAAAACATAAATTTCCTAAGATGCTCAATTCAAACCTAGATCTGACTCCAAAGTCCATGTGATTTCAACTACCTTATGTGCTCTACTAATAGTTCAAAATATAATGATTAAAGATAATACACTTGAATTATTTGGGAGTCAAATCGAGGACCCTGTACTTAATAAAATTATTATTTACCTACTAACCCATAGTAAATAAATTCAGTAAAGTATATTCTTACAATGCTTGGGAAGAAATCCTTATTCATTAAAATAAGTCTTCAGGCAATTTTCAAAGTATCAGGCAACTAAATAGGACTATAAAACAGCAATTATGAAAATTAAAATAGAGGAAATGTTCAGTCTCTTGGATGTTAGTTGGCTGCTATACCTTTTATTGCAATGACCTCAAAATACCTAAAAGAGTTATACAAGCAAAAACCAGGTCCACTTCTC